TTCAGTCAACACCCAGCTCTCACGGCCGTAGGTCAAGGTGGGGATGTCAATGGACTAAATAAATCCTAGAACATTCAGTTAGATTTGGACTGTTCTTCAAAACCTAACTGAACAGGAAGGGTGAACCTTCTCACCCGCCTTCTTTGGGCCAATCATCCTCGACATCACGCCTTTTAAATCTGTGCGCATTCTCCTTTTCGGACTCTTTTCGCGCAACCCACCTCCTCCCCATCTCCACCTCAGACAGAGCTCTATTCAAGCCTCAGTCTGCATCCTCAGCACCACTAGAGGTGTGTGTGTGTGTGTGTGGGGGGGGGTTTATCAAAGGGAATCATATTCAGTTCTTCCAAGTGAGCTCTACTTATTAAAAATGGGATACAAACCGATTTCCTGTTGACATTCTAAAAGCACAGCAGCAATAAAAGGGTTTAAAAGATTTGTCCTGTGGAATTTGTGCTTCTGTGCTGTTGTGTGAAATAGATTTCAATACAGAAGTCTTTGCACACGTCTCCTCCCTATATAATCCCTCTGATGCATACGGGATGCCATCAAAGAAGCTCTGCCCTTGTCTTTGAGGAATGTCACAGATCACTTTAATGCAGTGATTTTACTGAAAAGGTTTAAAATAACTGCAGTAAAAAACAAGCATGAAAGGTACTTTGAGGTTTCCAGTAAGTTCTTGTACAGTCTTACACTCACATATGAGCTTGGTTAGCCTACATGCAGGGAAGCTGACTAAGAACTGATAAGCTGTTACTAAGAACACTGGAACACTGGAGGTGTGAAGTGGATGTTCTCCTGCTGTGAAATGGGAGCTTGAGCGATATTACGTCTATGTGTCATGTGCTAATCATGAGATGAAGACCTGCTCGGCATTTGACGATGTAACGCAGAGAAGCAGAAGGGCATACTACACGTATGTAACTATATGTATTTCCATGTTATGCTACATTTTACTATATTTTGGATGCATTTGTAAAAGCTTAAATGGCCCGGGGCACATTGCAGCCCACTCTTTCCCTCATATTCAGAATATTTTGTATTGTCGGCATTTCTGGCTTCTCTCACACACACACACACACACACACACACACACACACACACACACACACACACACACAC